TATGCGGCTCCTGATTGAATCGTGCACGGTCCCCATGTGGGTCGTCAACGGGTCCTGCGTGAACCGTGTACGATTGTTTATGTGAAACGTATACACTTCCTACGTGGATCGTATACGACCCCGAGGTGAATCGCATGCACCTCCTATGTGAATCGGATTCAACTCCTGCGTGAATCGTCTCCGGTTTTTATGTGGATCGCAGGCGGCTCCTATATGAATCTTACACGGCTCCAGCGTGAAACGCAAACAGTGACTATGTTGGTCATATACGAGCCTCATCTAAATCGTTTACGGGTACGGTGTGTGAATCGTAGACGCATCAGGCATACATCGCTGACGACTCTTATGCTGCGAAACGAACACGGGTCGCATGCGAATGTTCAGAGGTTCTGATGTGACCAGGATGCGGTTCCAATGTGACTTGTATGCGCCTTCATGTGAACAGGGGGACCGATCCTACCCATACCATATACGACTCTTGTGTGACTCGTATACGACCCCTGTGTGGATTTTATACGGATCCGATGCGAAACGGGTGTGATTCCGATGTGGGTCGTTCCTATGTGCATCGTGTACGACTTCTACGTGAATCGTATGCGATTCCTATGTGGGGCGCGTGCGGTTATTATGTGAACCTTTCCAATGCGCATCGTGTACGACCCTTGAATAAACGTGTGAATCGTAGCCGGTTCTTGTGCGAATTGCATGCGACTCCCCTGCGAACAGTTTACCGTTCCGATGTGCTTCGTCTACGGTTCATATGTGAAACGCATGCGATTTCTACGTGAATCGTATATGACTCCTGAAGGAGCCGTATAGAACCCTCAAAGAGTCCGAAAGGAATCCTCCCAAGAGGCCTCTCGGAAGTTTTAAGAGCGCTTCTGAAGAAATGCAGTTGAAGAATCAGAAATAAAATCCGTCATCAGAAGGACTATTGAGCAAGTCTTTACCATGTCTGAAACTGTACTACGTCAGAAGCCTAGATGAGCACGTCGTAAGAATGACGACATAAGATGTACAGTGGAAGCCAACCGACAAAACAAACCTTCCACAAAAAAACCCAACCGTGAGACCCCAGGACGTGTTTTTTTGGTGTGGGGACGTCGCGCTTAACCATCGACACCCAAGAAACTCTGGGCACCCTGGAAGCGAGCAGGGTGTCTCTTGGCATGGGCCTCCATTGTATTCTGAATACTTCTTCAGAAATAAGAAGAGCACTTCTTAAGAGGTAGTAGTTAAAAGATCTCTCAACAACCATTGGTTTCGATTCAGCGTTTCGATTCAACCGGGATTGGTCCCAAAAGAGCCGGGTTTGGGGATAAGTAAGCTGCGATTGGCCCGAATATCGGATTGATCATTGTTCCCTCAGAAACGCCCCCTCCCCCAAGCGACTGGCAGCCAACCTGGACCAATGCCCCCCCCCCCCCCACACACACACACCATCCTTTGTAACAGCAAGACAACATACACTTTGCATCCAAATCTGGCGCCTGCGCGGATGCTCCGAGACCACTTTGCATTGTGTTTTGATAAGGGCGGCGGGGGTGCGGGCATATTGCTCGCTGCGCGCAGGCCAGCCATCCATGTCAAAAAACTGTGCCTGGTGCACCTGGAGCCTGTGGCGCGCATGGCATGCGTGGCATTCCTAAGCGATCTGCTGGCATTCGGGTGTTACTTACGTGTTGCGAGGGCGGGTGGGAGTGAGCTCGGCGGCCTGCAATCTAGGCGGGTCGCTTGATCGCGTTTACTTATTCGTATACACCCCCCTCCTCCAAACGACCAGGGGCCAACCAGGCAACATGCCGACACCATGCCGACCCGCCCCCCACCATCCCTTTCAACAAACTATACAATCCGCACTCTGGCTCCACATTTGGAACATGCGTGGCCAAGCCGATGCGGCCCCACCCCACCATTCCAATAAAAAAACAATGCAACGTACACTGTGGGGCAAAGTCTCGAGTCATGTTCGTGAGGCCTGCGAGCACTTTGTATTGTTTTTGACAAGGACGGCGGGGGGTCAGCACATTCCCTGCTGTGCGCAGGGCTACAATCCCCGACCAAAAGACAATACAACATGCACCTCGCGGCTACGGCATCGGCTTTCGACAAGGATGGCGGGGGCCGACATGTTCCCCGATGTGTGCTGTCACGTGCGCAGGGGCACCTGATGCACTCTGCACGTGCCCCGAGCGCGGCGCACCTGGCATGGCTGGAGTGTGCGGCACACCTGGCGCACTCGGAGCACGCGGCGCATCTGGCGCACCAGGCGTGCCTGGCACGCTCGGGCCCCAGGGGGGCCTGGCGCGCGTGGCGCCCCTGGCACGCGTAGCGCACCTCGCCCAAGCGTCTCGCACCTGGGGTCGGCTTCGGTTCCCAGTAGCTCAAAGACGACTGCTGAATATGCTCAGGCTCGGGTGTTACTTATGTGCGGGGAGGGCGGGTGGGAGTGAGCTAGACGGATTGCGGGCAGGTGCGTAGCTTGACCCCTCCCCCTACCGTTTCCCCCTGGACCTGCTCTGAAAGTTTCGCGAGGGGTTGGAGCGTCCAAGATGGCCTCGGCGAAGAAGCCAAACTCATTGATGTTACTACGGTTTTGGCCACATCTTGGCCACATGGAGAGGGGACCCTAATTTAGTACGGCCCCTCCTTTGATCGATATTCTAAGATGGCCCCAAGATGGCGCCCGAAGCTCCCCAGGATGCCCCAAGCCGGCCCCGAGAGGTGCCCAGGAGGCCCCCAGGAACCCCCGGAATGCCCCCAAGAGACCCCACAGAGGCCTCACGAGGCCCCCTAGATGCACCCAAGACGCCCCAATAGACCTCGGCAACAAGGCCCAAATCATGCTTTTTCAGCAAGTGTTGGTCACATGTTGGCCTCCTGGGGGGAGGAGTCCTCCAAAATGGCCCCGAGATGGCCACCGAGGCACCCAAGGATATCCCAGGACGGCCCCAAGAGAGGTGCCCAGGAGGCCCCGACAGGCCCCCATGATACACCCAAGAGGCTCCGAAGAGACCCCCAACAGGTCCCTCAGAGGCATCGGCGCAGAAGCCAAAATCACTGATGTTACTACAGCTTTGGCCACATCTTGGCCACCTGGGGCGGGCACCCTAATTTAGTACGGCCACATGATCCATCTCTTCACAGATGGCCCCAAGATGGCGCACGAGGCTCCCAAGAGAGCCCTAAGAGCGTCGCAGGATGCGCCCGGGTGGATCCAAGAGGCCCCCAAGATGCCCCCAAGATGCCCGAAAATTGGCCCCTGAGAGACTCCCACGAGAACCTGAAGAGGCCCGAAGAGGCTCCCCCGAAGCACCCCAGACGCTTCAAGGGGCCCCCGGGACCGCCACGAGGCTCCCAAAGAGGCCCACACGAAGCTCTCAAGAGACATCCGAAGAACTTCCGAGAGGCATTCAAAAGGCCTCTGGTCTTTCTGCTCGCCTTCCTTCTCCTCCTCCCCCTCGTCCTCATCCGCCTCATCCTCATCCTCCCTACCCCTTCCTCCCTCCTCTCCCCCCCTCCCCCTCCTCCTCCCCCTCCTCCTCTGATTCCTCCTCCATCCTCCCCCTCTGCCTCTGGAGATATGACGGCTTCCCAGCCTTTCTTCCACTGCATGCTCCCGCACATGCCCGATCAGGGCAACTCGCCTGGGCATCCTTTCTGGATAAGGTGGTGGGGTGACGCGAAGCGTCTAGAATTCCATTCCGACGCCTTCCGCTGAGGAAGAGATGCCAATTTCTCGATTCCTCGAAGGCGAGGCCCCGTCTTGACAGCCTCATATCTTCATGCCAACGACTCCGACGTACGCGATCAGTGGCCGCAGCGTCCATGTGCCAAAGGCTCAGTGCATCACTCAAGGGAAGCAGCCGAAAAGGACAACAGTAAGGCAAGTTGCTAAAGTTACGTACGATTATTTAGCCAGCTGGGGCGCAGATAACCGGCGCGAGCTGCAGTTCGGAGCCAAAGGAAAGGCCTCGCATCCCCCTCCACCTCGCCCTCCCAAGTCATCCTCCGCCCCAGCTCTCCCCGATCTGCCCCCTACGCGTCCTGCCTCTCCTCCTCCCCACGCCTTCCTGAAACCCTCGCCCTCCTCGTCCCAAGCTACTTCCTACAGCTTCACTGCCGCCTGCATCACTCCCCCAACTTCGTCCTACTCCTCGTCCTCCTCCTCCTCCTCATCATCCCGTCGTCCCTCGATCCTCCTCCTCCTCCTCATCATCCCGTCGTCCTCCTCGTCCTCCACATCCTCCTCCTCCTCCTTTCGCCCTCCTCCTCTGGTCTCCTACCTCATCTCTCCTCCATCCGGTAGCCTCTCTCCTCTGTCCCCCTCCTCTGCCTCTTCCCCCATCCTCCTTCTCCATCCTTAATGCTCCCCCTACCCTGCTACTCCCTGCTCCCCCTAAACGCCATCCTCCTTCTCCTCATCCTCCTCGTGCTCCTCCTCCATCCTCAAACCTTCCCATCTCTTCTTTCTCCTGCTCCCAATACTCCCTGGACCCTTTGTAGAACATGGTAAAACTGTCCTTCCTCTTCCTCCTCCTCCTCCTCCTCCTCCTCCTCCTCCCCCTCCTGCTCTCCTCCTCCTCCTCCTCCTCCTCCTCTCCTCCTCCCCTCTCCTCTCCCTCCACACCTGTCCTCCCCCCTGCACCTTCTCTTCTCATCCTGCCTCTCATCGCCCACGGAGGCGAGGAGGAGGAGGAGGAGGAGGAGGAGGAGGAGGAGGAGGAGCAGGAGCGGGAGGAGGAGGAGGAGGAGGAGGAGGAGGAGGAGGAGGAGCGAATGGTGCCGAGAGAAGAGATACGAAGATGAGCAGCAGAAGAAGAATGATATAAGGAGGGAGGAGAAGAAGGATGATGAAGAGGAAGATGATAACGATACACTCCTCGTGGGTTGAGGAGGACCCCTCCTCCGCATTTCACACCCCCGAGATCCAATTGATACCGCCAGACACGGCCATCCAGAGGCTCAGCATCGACCGGTGGAGGCTCCCGTAGTACGCCCTAAGGCTCTCGTCCTTCGATTCGGCAGGGAAACACGATCCTTCATTCCTAGCATCCCATACCTCCCTCCCTCTCCTCCTCCCCTGCAAGCCTCCTCCTCCTCCTCCTCCTCCTCCTCCTCCTCCTCCTCCCCCTGCTCCTCATTATCCCTCCTCATGATCCCTCCTTATCCTTCTCCTCATTCTCCAGCTCCTCCTCTTTCTGCTCGTTCTGCAGCTGCTGCACCTCCTCTGACTCATCTCATCAGAATCATCATCATCAGCAGCAGCATCATCAGCATCACCGCCACCATCATCATCATCATCATCATCATCATCATCATCAGCAGCATCAGCATCAGCATCAGCATCAGCATCAGCATCATCATCACCGACATCACCAGCAGCAGCATCACCATCATAACAAGTATCATCATCAGCAGCATCATCATCAGTACCAGGATGAGCATCATCATCAGCATCATGAGCATCATCATCACCATTATCATCCTCGTCATCATGTCCATCACAATTATCACCAGCACCGCCGTCATCATATTCATCGTCATAATCATCATCAACATCAGCATCATCATCCTCACCATCCGCACCCCCATCCTCATCCTAATCCTCATCCTCCTTCTCATCAGCATGATCACCACCATCA